TTTTAAAATATAATATAGTACTATTACTTTAATAAATAATTAATATAATTTATAAAATTTTATTTCACTAAAATATACCGAAAGAATGTTTAAATAACATCTTCCAAACATCATAAAACGTTTTCCAGATGTTTTCCAGAAATGTAATTCATTTTTCAGAAATGTAATTCATTTTACAGAAATGTAATTCATTTTCCAGAATTCAAATTCCAGTAATTCATTTTCCAGTAATTCAAATTCCAGTAATTCATTTTCTGGAAAACCAATTACAGCTAAACAAACAGACCCTTAATTTTACTTTAATTTCACGCGCCTACTCCATGTATTATATTCTTTTGAAGTTTAATTATAAAAGAGGTGTCTAAACTATACCAATTTTCTCAAGTGGGTGTCTAAATTTTTTTCTATTCATTCAGGTGCTTAAATATTACCATTTTATGTGTCCAGTCGTAATGACTGTTAAAATTTATCGTTAAGTGATACATGTCACGTTTTATTAATTTTGAGAAATTTATTTAAAATAAAAACTTAAAATTATTATTATTATTATTTACAAAAACCTATTCTTTTTCTAAATTTCAGAAAAAACACCAAATTCTTTAAACCTTTAACTTTTATCCCTTTACTTCGATCGTTGTTCATCTCCAGCCACCCATCCACTGTCGAACGACCACTCATCTGTCGTCCTTCACCTCTAACAGACCATCACTCTTGTAGTTTTCTTAAACTTCTAAATTCTCAAAATCCTAAATTCCTAAAATCTCAAATACCCATTTCGTAAACTCCAATAATACCCTTTAGTCTACGTCCACCATTGACTTGTAAATTATATTTTTAAGTTTTTTTTTTATTTTAAATAAAACTTTCAAAATTACTTGAATGTAACACGTGTCCTTTAATGACAGAATTAATAGTCATTACTGCTCGAGCACCTAAAATGATAACATTTATAAAGTTAAGTACCTAGATGAATTAGGGGGAAAATAGAAACCTATATGAAAAAATCGATATAGTTTGGACACTTATTTTCTAATTAAGCCTTATTTTAATTACAATTTATATTTTATAGTACGTAAAAACGAATTTAAATAGCACAATTAAAATTACATTAATCACATTAATTAATAAATATATCATTTCTAAAATTCAAACCTGAAAGCAACTCAACTAAATCAATGTTTCCTTGTGATATGATATTAATGATATTTTGATAATATAAATTATTAATATTTTGTCATTGAGCATTTATTCGATCTACATGATTGTTATTATAATATTTAAGAAGACGTAAGTTTAAATGCGTTAAAACATGTATTATATTTCAATTTAATCGTAAAACTTAATTGGAGTATTATATTTTTTTCATCCGTCATTCGATCCGACTTAACTTTAAAGAGTCTTTATATAATTTGAAATTCGACTTGATTTAGGTAAACAAAAATACAAGTCCGTCTCTAATTCGACCTGACTCGACACACTCACATATAATACTCATTTTGATTAAGTATAAAGACCTAATTAAAAATGCATAAAATGAATGCATTATTATAATTATTCCTAAATATATAAAAGATAGTTATAATTTTCTTTGGGTTATAACGAAGATTTGTACCCTTAATTCAAACCTAATCCGACATTATATTTTAATAAAAATTGACATGATCTAAACTCATTTTTTTAAATTAATCATATAAGATCGATTCGAAATTCGTGGGATCCGGGTCTAATCCCCATCCTTAATAATCAAGGTCATATTTATATTGTTCAAGCACCATTGGACTGTTCAATGAAAAAAAATAATGTTTATTTTTTCTTAAATGGGATTGATAATGAAATTGTTTTTTAATTAATACAAATTTTTAAATGGTTGAATATGATAGGTAGATATATAACTACCTATTATTAATGTTGAAAATATTAGGTTGATTCTCTGTGTTTCTTAAATTATATTTCAAATAAAATCACATTTTATTAAAAATCAGAATTTTAAATCATTATATAATTTTTATCAAAATAATATAAAGAACTACATTTATAGGGTGAATTACGCATTTAGTACTTAAACTATCGATTTTGATCCGTTTTAATATTTAAACTTTCAGCTTTTTCAAAATCATGCATAACGTTTAGTTTTCATTTCATTTTAGTACCCGCCGTTAAGAACTTAATGCGTTTAGCACCTAAACTATCGATTTTGGTCCGTTTTAGTACCTAAACTTCCAATTTTTTTTCCAAAACTTAACGTTAAATTTTGAACGGGATACTAAAATGAAACAAAAACTAAAGTTTTTAACGACGGAGTGCTAAAACGAAACAAAAAAAACTAAACTTTAAGTATTATTTTGAAAAAAATTAAAAGTTTAGATACTAAAATGGATCAAAACTGATAGTTTATATACTAAATACGTAATTTACCCATATTTATAAGATTTAAGGCAAGAACAAACGGTTGGTTGCCTGTAACCACCAACAATTAAAAGGTAGTTGGCTTAAGTACTATGATAGTTGCATCTTAATTACTTGCATCGTAAGGTAAGTAGTTGCCTAATAATGTGATTATAATTTATAGGATAACTACGTGTTTAGTACCTAAATTATCAATTTGTCCGATTTAGTATTCAAATTTTCATTTTTTTCAAAACCATACTTAAAGTTTAGTTTTTGTTTCATTTTAGTATCTCGATTAAACTTAACGTTAATTTTTTTAAAAATTGAAAGTTTAGGTAGTAATACAGACAAAAACTGGTAGTTTAGATACTAAATACATTAAGTTTTTAACGATAGAGTACTAAATTGAAACAAAAATTAAACGTTAGGTATGATTTTGAAAAAAAAAATAAAAGTTTAAGTACTAAAATTGACCAAAACTAATAGTTTATATACTAAATGCGTAATTTACCCTAATTTATAACACCACCTAACCAATTAATTATTTTGATTTGAAAAAGATTGTTATAAGACTTAATGTGTTTAGTATTAATGTTAAAATATGATTTGCGAAGATAAATAAATATTCTATACATAATATTAAAACTGAAAAATGTATATTTAATATTATAATATATAAAATATATCAATTTAAATTATGATAAAATATGTATAAATCTCTTAAAAGTTTATAATGGTTGTACGCATTTTATGAAAATATATAAAACTTTAAAGTCTTTCTATATACATAATTTCATATTTTATAGCGCTTCTTAATTATATATATATATATATATATATATATATATATATATATATATATATCAATCCTTCAATTATTAATATCTTTTACCATTCTATTAAAAAATAATCAATACCAAACCATAAAAATACGGGCAAATTCATGTTTAGTATCTAAACTATCAATTTTGACCCGTTTAGCACCTAAACTTTTAGTTTTTTGAAAAATACACCCGACATTAATTTTTGTTTCATTTTAATACCATGACGTTAAAAACTGAATGGACGGGCTCGCCAATTGCCATGTATACAGTTGTCAGCCGTTGCATCCATCGACCGATGAAGCCCAAACTATGCAACCTACATTTTTTGACCCCCTGAACGTAGTACCGACCTCCGTTTCACTTGAAGATTCCTCGATCTTCCAAAATCGATGATAGACTCTTTAATTTATTCATCCTCCGATCTCCGTCGTTAACTGTTTAATAGACCTGAAATTGAACTATGTCGTTCGACTCGTCATTCTCTCGCGGTTCATCGTTTGGATTGGTGATTCGTCCACCGGAGTTATGCTTCGTCAGCCCGTCTGTTAAGTTTTTAACGACGAAGTATTAAAATGAAACAGAAATTGATACTAAAACAAACAAAAACTGATAGTTTAGATACTAAATACGTTGGGTATGATTTTGAAAAAAGTTTAGGTACTAAAATAAAAAACTAATAATTTAGATACTAAATACATAATTACCCTACAATAATAATATTGTAACTAAAAACCCTAAAAATTGAAATTGATTAACAATTTTCAGTTCTACCGAATCTAAGCAGTACCGAGGGACAACTAATGTCCGAATATGAACGTACAAAAGGAGTGGTCCGAGTGACTCAGTCTGTCACCGGACAAAAGCTGATTCAAATAACCCTAATGGGACCGCGCGTGGCTATGCCATCACCTTTCTTTCTTATTTTTTTTATTTAACAAACATTATAATAATTATAATACTCTGGATTATAATTTAACTAGAAATCGATGCATTTTTGATCTAATCCGATCTGATAAAAATAAATATTTTTAAAAAATAAGTTCGGATCAAATCGGATCAAATTGTTTTAGAGCGAGCTCGGGTTAAGTTCGGATGGAAGATAAAAAACTCTGACGTGACCTGACTCAGAATAATAATGAAATTTATTAAAATATTATTTTTAATTAGGTGCTTATTTTATATTAAATTGGATAAGATTTATACTCTAAAAATTTGATTTAAATTGGAGTTGGGTGGAAGATATATATTTTTGGAGTCATGTGGAAGATATATAATTTTCAAGTCAGGTTAAATTCGGGTAGAGGATGCATATTTTTTGGATTAGGTCGAGTTGACTAAAAACCTGAACCTACTTGACCCATTACCATCCTAATTTTAACCAAAACTATTACTCTCTCGTTTTTATAATTTATGTCTTATATTGAGATATATTTGATTAAGGAAAATAATAAAATTATCCTTAAAAAGATTGATAGCTTTGTGTATATAGCATAATATATATCTATATCACATATAATTAAAGAAAATATTTAAATCAGAATAAATTAATTTCATAATACTATAAATATTTTTAATTAAATTTAAATAATTAGAGTAAAAAATTAAATAAAATTTAAATTATATGATAATAATCATCTACTCGATTAACTTGAAATTTTAATTGTTTGGATCAATCTCAGTCACACCCTAGTTAAGAAGATTTTATTTTTAATATTCGATTTTTATTAATCGATCTATAAATCAAAACATTTCTATGTCCAAACTCAATTGCCGTTGGTAACTAGAGACAGGAAAGGAGCAAAAGCTTGCCCTCTCTCTCCCTCTTTTTTTCACTTGCCATTGTTAATATTTTCTCTGAGTTTCTTCCTTTTGGAAAAGAAGGAAAATCGTTTCTCCAAAGCCTCCAAAATCTCTTCTTCTTCTTCCCATTGTTTGTGAGCAAATCATCTGCAGTTTCTTTAATCTGCTTCACCATGTTCATCTCTTAAGCTTCAAAATCTCTCCTCTGCTTCGCTTTTCACACATTTTAACCTGCATTTCTAATCCACAACCTGTATGTTACACCACCTTTTCAGCTGTTTTTCTAATTTGGGTTGTCTTTACATTTTTATCTGCATGTGATTTTGACCATTTTTTTTTGTTTTCTTTGCATTTTTTAAATAATGATTTATATGTTTGGCTTTTTTGAAGAACAATAAGTTGTGGGTAACAAGTAATAATGGAGTTGGAAATCTGATATGTTTAGGTTAGCTGCTTTTGTAAGTAAGAGAGAAATCAAAGAAGAAGAAGAAGATAATTGCAGTCCATAAAGGGGAATGATATATACCCTTTTATTATTGCAGAGAGAAAGATGATGTATCAGTCCTGTTATCATTTTCCTTAAAAAAAATAGAATTTTTGCTTTTTTTGTTGTGAAATGTACAAATTATAGTCTATCTTTCCAGCTAAGAACACAGCTTTTGTTGTGAAATGTACAAATTCCACTGATTCTTTGGTCAAATTTGGAAGAAAGTTGAGATTTTTGGAGTGTTTAGCTGAGCCTTGTGTACTTTGGTAGCTGCTTCTTTGGATCTGTAGAAATCCTTTAGGTTTATGCACCTTTGTGTACTTGTTTGAATTCATTCGATATTTCGGTTGAGATGATTTGCTTTCGTTACTCGAATATAGTCTGTTCTATGTGTTGTTTGCTTGATTTGAGCTTTTTCGGGTACTCGACCGTGTTCGGATAGGTTCGATGTGTCTGTGTTTTCTTTTCATAGTATTTTGTAAGGTTAATTATGCAAATTGATCTTGAATTGAAATACAAAAGTGATCTTTTAGTGTTTGGTTTGAGGTTTGATCATAAGGTTGTTTTCTTTGTGTGTATAGAATTGACTTACAGATGACGAAGATAAGTCCTGACATAGATGAAACGATGCTGAAAGAATCGATCGTGGCTGTTTCGGCTGATGTGAGCTTTGCTTCTGACCACTTCCCAAAGTATAAATTAGGACCCGACAATCAGATCTTGGAGGAGCCAACAGGGGATAACAATGGACCGTCGCTCAAGGAGGTTGTTGAAAGGGAAACGACACAGTTATCCGAGCAGCACGAGCGACTCTCGGTTCGTGACCTTGCTACTAAATTCGATAAGAACCTTGCCGCTGCTGCGAAATTGGCTGATGAGGTGGGAACCGTCTTATATTCGGCTGCTCCGATGTCATCTCAGTTACTGTCTTTTTGCCATTCTACTCGATCCGGGATTTCCCGGTATCTTTCTCGTTGACAATGGATGATATAGTGAATAACACTTGCTTTCTTGTAATTTAGACCAAGCTTAAAGAGGCTGCTTCTTTGGAGGGGCATGTTCTCTTGAAAAAACTTAGAGACGCCTTAGAATCGTTGAGAGGTCGTATGGCGGGGAGAAACAAGGAAGATGTAGAGAAAGCCATCTCTATGGTTAGCTGTTTTGCCTTACCATTTCTTTATTTTTACTCGAACTTTTCGCTTGAAGCTTAATGTATCACATCTATAGTAAGATGCTGCGTTCTATTCACAAATTCTAACTAGGTTGATGTGTAGTGTTCAGATTGTGCAACCCTTCCGTTTTCATGATATGATATACGACATCATGCATTCATATAAACAAGAAGCGCTCTTCATTTTCGTACCGAACTGCCAATGTTTCCATCGTTAAACGTTTTCTTTAAATGTGCTTTTCTTCTGCTTGATACAAATTGTCGGTATTTCTTTCGACTTAAAACATTATACATAACGATTTTTTGGCAATAACTTTCCCTTCCCCCCCCCCCCTTACGTGCAGGTTGAGGCGTTGGCAGTTAAATTGACCCAAAACGAAGGAGAACTGATACACGAGAAGTTCGAAGTGAAAAAACTGGCAAACTTTCTCAAGCAGGTCAGCTTATGGAAGTCGAGTTTCGGATCGTGTTCTTCATTTTCTTGATGTGTCAAATGAAGATCATCCTTTTCTTTCCATTTTTACTGAAATTGAATGCATTCCTTTTCGTATCCAGGCTTCCGAAGATGCTAAAAAGTTGGTTAGTCAAGAAAAATCTTTTGCTTGTGTTGAAATCGAAAGTGCTAGGGCCGTAGTACAGCGATTTGGAGAGGCCCTTGACGAGCAAGAAAAGAATCCTGAAAATTCACAGAAAACTCGGGTATAATCGAGCTTCTTATGTCGGCTTTCCTTCCTAATCCATCAGTTTTATTGGAAACCGATCATTCTTTTGGCAAGCGTACATGTATGTTTCCTTTATCGTATAGTCTTATTCATTCCCATGCTTTCGATGTGATTAAATAAGGAGGTGCAAGTCAAATATTCTTATTTTCCGCATCGTGATTGAATATTTGGATGTTGAAGATATTGTTGCACTTAATTTGTCTTTGCTGTTATCTCTTGTAGGAGGTTGAGGAGCTATTTGAGGAGGTTCAAGAGGGTAGGAGAATTAAATTGATGCATCAGCCAACCAAGGTGCATGCGTGTGTGTGGTTAGATGAAAACGTAACTGTGATTTGCGTTCGATAAATAACTTTGTCTCCTAGCTTGAAGGAACTTAGTATTCAATTGATTCGCTCGTTGTTTTAACGCTGAATCAACATGTTGAGGCTTCTAATGCAGCACTGCTTACTACCTATGTCATCGATTGAATTCTAGAATATTGGAGTCATTACCGATGCATAGCTTTTTCTAGTTTTCGGCACAGTATGAAACACTTTGCCTCTTCTTTCTCATTACACGACGTCGAAGACGAAACTGTTTCCGCTCAATATCTATTTTTCTAGTTCGAGTTTTCTCCTACCGTTACTATATACACTTCTTGGCGACGTTTACGTGCATGTCAAAGTAGTAGAGGTTTTCGTTAAAGATATGGTTTTGATAAAACGACAGCTTTCAGATCATATCAATATGCATTGTGCTTTCAGGTAATGGATATGGAGCACGAACTTCGTGCTCTCAGAGCTCAAATTCGAGAGAAATCTCTATTCCAAGCAAAGCTTCAGAAAGAGGTTGGTTGAGTTTTCTTTTTCTTCTTTTATCTTGATACTAATCTCGAAAACTCGAATGTTCATGCTTGAAACTGGTGTAATCTGGCGTATGATCATTTCTGATGTTCTAATCTATGCCAGTTAATTTACAGTTGGCAATTAACAAGATGGCTGAGCAGAACAAAGTCCGTGTTTTCGGTTTTCATGGTTCTGGAACTCTTGGTTCATGCTTAAAACTCCAGCCTTGTTCTGATCATGCTCCGCCGCTTTCAAAATCTATGATTCAGTGGTATCGACTATCGTCTGATGGAAATCGGAGGGAAATAATTTCAGGTATCCATTCCATGAATGTTCTTTACATTGTTGCTTGATAACCTGTATCATTTACATTGCATCCTACTTTAGTAACTGATCCGAGTTTCGGCGTTATCAGGTGCCAACAAAACAATGTATGCCCCGGAACCACTTGATGTTGGCCGAATTTTGCAGGCCGAGATTCTCTCGAATGGCCGAAAAATATCGGCGACAACTGCCAAACCTATCGAGTCTGGTTGGTTTACACCTGAATGCATAAGTGTTTCGATGAATAGAAACGAAAGCAAGAAAGGCTGATGGAGTTACTTTCACAGCTGCAGGTTTGGGAAGCTACGTCGAGACGCTTTTGCGGAAATCGAGCAGTGAATTTAATGTATGAATGATTCTTTTCTGTTGGTTACTTCAAGAACTGGTCCACATGGTAGGAATACTTGTCTCGTTCTCATCTAATCGAAGTTTCATCGTACTATGTCTTTTTCTAGGTAGTCGTTTCTCAAATCAACGGACAAGATCATCCGTCACGCTCGACTCACACATTCAATATCGGAAAGATGAGGATCAAGCTCTGTAGAGGATGGATCACAAAGGCCAGAGAAAATTATTCCACATCAATGCTGGTGATTATCTTACTTTTTATTAAGTACCTTTTTCCATTACCTCGTTCTCACATCGTTCCGGATCTTCCTAATGAAGCTATGCGGAGCTAGAGGCGACGCTAACGCGCCGGCCAAGTCATTGTTCTGGCAACCGAGGAAAGGGCTCTCTTATGTATTAACATTCGAATCAGATAAAGAACGAAACGCAGCTATCATGGTTGCACGGAAGCACGCTCTCGATTGCAACGTACGTCCCTAGACATAGCTTTTTTGTTTTCATTACTCGTTTATCTTTCCGAAGAATATCGAAAACCGAGTGAAGGAATATGTTGTGTGATTATGCAGGTGATGCTGGGGGGACCAGATGATGAAATGTAGAAGTAAAAAAGAACAAAAAATCTAACTGAAAGAGTGCTTTGTTTGTTGAAATATTTGTATGGTATGTTTGGTAATGAGGGAGAAGAATATGGGAAAATTGCGGTTTGACCCTTCGGGTTTCTACCAATTTGGTTGGTTAATGTCATTGTTTAGGCAGTGTTTTTTCGGTTTGCCTAATCTAAATCACCGCTTGTAACATGTTTTTCCTCGTTAATCGACTTGATTGCTTGATTTGTGCTTCATTTGCTTCTTAAGATGTCCGTTTTATGTTCGGAGTTCGTGAATGTCGTTTTCGTTCTCCGAACAGTGTTACGACATTACTTTTTCCCTGATCGAAAGCCTTCCCCCAGGGAATACGTCACGGTGGCGTCGAAGCAACAATGGAGGTTGACCGGTGACAACACAGTGATATTGACACTGAAAGATGATATAAGATGACTTTGTAGGAGGACAAACACGGATACTTGACTCCGACAAAAGCGTGGAAAAACCTATGAGCGGAGGGAAGGGAGCAGAAGTGCGGCCTCCCGACGGCTGGAGGCTGAGGAAGACAAGGAGGGTCAAGCTCCCAAGCTTTAAAGGGAAGATATGAGAGGCTAAGGATAGACCATGGATCTTGGTGTTACGAGTATGGTGTCACGAATTAATCAATACGATGTCGTTTATTGAATTTAATATTAAAATTATTTTAGTGATTAAAGAGATAATTATTATTTTTGGAAGGCTTGAATTTATCTCAATGGTTTAAATAATTATTATTATATCTAAAAGTTTTGAATTTAAACATAATAGATTCATTATTAAATTTATATTAGCATTAAGGATAAGTATTTCACCTGAATATGATGAATTTAGACCTAATTATATATGATGGATTTTTTCTCCTTTCAGATTGAGTTTTTTTAAAAAGAAAAATTGTTATCAAATTTAGCGTGAAAAATATCCGACTAAAAAAATAATATTATATAATTACTATAATACGTATCTATATATATGTTTTTCAATTAGATCCATGTTTTTTGAGTTTTATCTAGGGATGACAATTTAATTCGATTTTGACTGGTTCTAATCTGATCTGATATGTTCGGATTTTTTTTATTTCGAGTTCAGGTCGGGTCGGGTTAAATTTTTTAAGGGGTGATGTCGGGTCGAATTTGGGTGGAGGGTGAAAAAAATCCGACCCGAAGATAATAATGTAATTTCTTTAAAAAATATTATTTTTTTAATTAAGGTATTGTTTTATACCTGATCGGGTCAAGACTCAGGTCTGATCATATTTATACTCTAAAAATTTGGGTCGGATCAAAATTGGATAGATGATATATATTTTTTAGGTCGGGTCAGATTCGAGTGGATGATACTTATTTTCGAGTCTGATTGACTAAAATCATGATCTTATCCTAAACTGCTACCATCATTGTTTTTACCTTAAAAATTAGATCGAGTAAAATTTCCCTAAACCAATATCGAATTGAGTGGCATGTGTTATAATTAGGTCAGATTCAACCCAAGACTATTTGTAGTCAACATCATGTTAACTTTTTAGTCGCTCAAAATAAAAAATGTAAAATTAGTGATGATTTCATTTAAAAAAATTATTAGATGATCAAAGTAGAAAATAAATAATAGGTTGATGGCTAATAATGTAGTTTAACTCTTTTTATAAAAAAAATATTCACAAAGGCAAAACCCTAGAACGCAAACGGGTAACTTTATTTTAGCACACAAGCCACGTGGAGCCTTTAAACTGACAGGTAGGTTAACGGCTATAATTTGGTTCTGAAAATTCCACCGTCTGATTAGAAACAATCCAACGGTGGTATTTTGAAAATCAAATATGCCCGTTGGCTCGCCTTAGCTTCAAAAGGAAACCAAATCTTCCCTTTTCCTCTTATATTCTCTAAAAGCTCTAAGAGAAAGGCGAAAGAGAAGATCGAAATTGAAGAGAAAATAACAACAATAACAAAAAAAACAAAAATGGCTTCAAGAATCATTGTACCTCAACAAGGAAGAGGTAATTTTAGGGAATCGCTTGAATACTTGCTTGGATTTGTTCTTCTTTTTTTGTTTGAACTTTGAAATTATTTTTATGGGTTTATCTTGAAAATTTTTGGCGAGAAAAAGAAATGGGTTCTTTGCGATTTGCGTTTGTTTTGGTGGGATTTTGTTGGAATTGTACGGATCGTTTAAGGAAATGATGATTTTCTTTAGCAGGCGAGGCCGGAGTTGGTGGCGCTGGGGCGGCAGTTCAGAAGCAGGCGAATAAGAACGCGGCGGCCGGAGATGGGAGGAACCGCCGTGCGTTGGGAGATATTGGGAACGTAGTGAAAGTCCGAGGAGGCGCGGTTGTTGATGACAAAGCCCAGCAGCAGGTTCATCGTCCACTCACAAGGTCTTTTTGCGCCCAATTACTTGCCAATGCCGAAGCCGCCGCCGCCGTCGAGAAGAATATGGTTTGTTTTTATATACGATTTATCCGATTTGACTAATTTTGATTAATAAAGCAACAAGAAAACCCTGATTCAAAATCTGGGTTTGTTTTGGATTTCAGAAAAATTTATGTGTCAATGCGGAAAAAGCTCCTGTTCTTGAAGGAGCCGCTGCCGTGCCTAAAAGAGGCCTTGCCGCTGTGCCGAAGGCTGTTCAGAAGAAACCAGCCGCTAAGCCGGTGCCGGCGCATGCGGAAGTGATCAAAATCAGCCCGGATGTGGTGGAAGTGAAGGAGAAAAAAGAGGAGAAGAAGAAAGACAAGGTTGTTAATATGAAGAACAATAAGAAAGTCACTCAAAGTGAGGAATCATCCAAGAAAAAGCAGCATACTTTCTCTTCGGCCCTTACCGCAAGAAGCAAGGTAATCAATCGATCTTTCGATTCTTTTTGGAGTAATTGTTGTCGAAAACTCGAGGCAAAAAGGTGACTTTGTTGTTGTTGTTGTTTCGGTATTCAGGCGGCTCATGGAATTGCAAACAAGCCAAAGGAGGAGATTGTTCATGATATTGATGAAGCAGATGCTAATAACCACTTGGCTGGTGTGGAATATGTTGAGGATATCTACAAGTTCTATAAATCTGTTGAGGTTTGCAAATAGACAACAACAAATTTCATCAATGTCTAACTTGTAAAGATATAATTTCGATTTTCGACAAGCCGGGACTTATGAAAACGTTGTGGAAAATGCAGAATGAGAGCAGGCCAAGTGACTATATGCACTTGCAGACCGATATTAATGAGAAGATGAGGTCGATTCTTGTTGATTGGCTGATCGATGTTCATCAAAAGTTCGAGCTTTCACCCGAAGCTCTCTATCTTACCATCAACTTGATCGACCGGTTCCTATCGGTGAAAGTTGTCCCGAGGATCGAATTACAACTGCTGGGCATGAGTGCCATGCTTATTGCCACCAAGTATGAAGAAATATGGCCCCCTGAGGTCAATGATCTGGTGTGCATTGCTGACAGAGCTTACACTCATGAACAAATACTTTTGATGGAGAAAACTATATTGGGAAGGCTCGAATGGACTGTGACGGTGCCTACACACTATGTCTTCCTATCTCGGTTCATCAAGGCATCGATCCCGGATCCGAAAGTGCGTTTTTTTTTACTTCTTTTAGTCACTTGTTGGTTTTTAGATGAAAATTTACATATGGTTGATGTTGTTTTGTGTTGTGTGTAGACGGAAAGCATGGTGTATTTCCTAGCCGAGTTGGGGATAATGCACTACGAGACCATTAGATTCTGCCCATCGATGGTGGCTGCCTCGGCGGTGTATGCCGCTCGATGCGCTCTGAACAAGACTCCGACTTGGACCGACACACTCAAGTTCCACACTGGTTACTCGGAGTCGCAGCTCGTGGATTGTGCTAAGCTGCTGGCTTATTTCCATTCCAAGGCTGCTGAGGGCAGGCTTCAGGTTGTGTATAAGAAGTACTCGAGTTTTCTACGAGGAGCGGTTGCATTGGTTCCGCCATCGAAGGATCTATTATCTGCTGAGAGTAGGCTTCAGGTTGTTTAGTTACTTGGAATTTGTTGTTTGGAAACTGATTGCTGTGCTTCTCTCCCAGAGAAGCATTGATTTGATGCCTTTAAGAAGAAATATTCATTTGAATAACAATTCTGTTTGTTGATGAATGAAACAACATGAACCATTGTCCCTATAAGCCATTTTATGCCATTTTTCATCGCCAGTGTACCTAAGTTTCGAGTGTCGAAATGCCGGAAAGTATATGCCGTTTTTCATCACCAATGTACTTAAGTTTCGAGTTTCGAGTGTCGTCTAAATGCCGAAAAGTAGTGGCATTTGCTGCATCACCAATGAAACAACATGCACCCTTGTCTCTATATGCCATTTTTCATCACCAATGTACCTAAGTTTCGAGTGTCGGAATGCCGAGAAGTATTGGCATTTGCATCACCAATGTACTTAAGTTTCGAGCTTCGAGTGTCGAAATGCGAAAAATCGAAACCTCATCCAAAACCAGGGAGGAACTAACATACAAAGCATATCAAAGCCATTCAGTGCATGGTTTTAAATAACGGTCCGCGGCCGCAATCACGTTAAATGCGACATGATCAAAAACGCGACCGCAACCGCGATCTAAATCCCTTATTATCAGAAATAAGCTTCGAGAATCTGAGTGCTTGAATGTCGACCGCCTATTGCCGGACGACAAGAGTATGAGATGAACCTGCCGGAACCTAATCACCTCTTAGAAATTCAAGACCTTAACACAAGCCATATGCTATGTTGAATTCTTTTGTGCCGAGTTGAATAGAACTCGGGCAGTTTAGTTTAATATGAGTGAGTAATCGATTCATTTTTTTTAATTTTCCAGATTCATTAACTTAAAAATAAATAATAACTCAAACACAAAAGTAAAAATTCATTTTTATAAGAGCTAACTGCATCATACATCCTTAATCTATGACCCTCATTTAAAATTGATCCTTAAACTTTTAAATATTTCAATTTCACCCCTAAACTATGACTATCATTCTAAATTATTCTGCAAACCTTTTCATCCCCAAACTATTATTTTCATTATAAATTGGTCCCTATACGTTTTCAACATTTCAATTTAATCTTAAATGATACGTATATACTAAACTACTAATAGCATCTCCTATTAATAAAATTCTTAGAACAAGTTATATTATTATATGTTTGGAAAAAGATAAAATTTAGGTTAAACAATGGTTGAAACAAATTATATGTTTGAATGGATTTGGAGATAAAATCGGAAGATGCAAAAGTTTAGGGACCAGTTTAGAATGATATTCATAGTTTATGTCCGTTTTAATATCTAAATTTTCAAAAAAAATCAAAATCATATCTAAAGTTTTAGTTTTTGTTTCATTTAGTATCCTGCCGTTAAAAACTTAAATGACGGGCTCGTCGGCCGTCGCGTCTACAATCACCAGTCATCGCATTCGTCGATCGATGAAACCCAGACTTTCCAACCTCCATTTCATCGAAAAATACCTTAATCTCTCAAAATCGACGATGAACTCTTTGACTTTTTCATCATCTGATCTCCGTCATCAATCGGCTGATGGGCCTAAAATTGACTTTGTTGGTCGACTTGTCATTCTCTCGTACCATTATCCCGTCTGATGATTTAAATAATTTAACATAAAAAAAGCAAACTTAAAAATGAAAATTCAATTTTTTTGAAGTCATTCTAATTTTGTTCATCCTTATCCCTATGTAGCCCAATTCACACTATAATAATGTTTGCCCTAAAAGCCTGTTCCCCATTTTCATCATCAACAAAAAAAATGGCTTCTCTTTGTTACTCTCTTCCCCTAACCCTAAAATCCTTCCACCCTAAACCCTCTCCCAATCTCTCCTTCCTCAACCACCCCAAACCCAAGCTCCGCCTCCCAAAGCCACCGACCGGAGTCACCCGCATGTCGCTGAACCCGACTCCGGCCACCGACCGGCTAATCTCCGTCGCGGCCTACAGTCTCCCGTTCTTCAACTCCCTCCAATACGGCCGCTATCTGTTCATCCAATACCCCCAATTAGGCACCCTTTTCGAACCCGTTTTGCCCTTCCTCAGCCTCTACAGATCCGTGCCGTACGCCAGCTTCGTGGCGTTCTTCGCGCTGTACCTGGGCGTTGTTCGGAACCAGAGCTTCAGTCATTACGCGAGGTTCAATTCGATGCAGGCGGTGACGCTGGACGTGCTGCTGGTGGTGCCGCTGTTGTTGACCCGGATTCTGAATCCGGGTCGGGCTGGGTTGGGGTTCAAGTTGATGGTCTGGGGACATACGGGGATCTTTGTGTTTAGCTGTTTGTGTTTTGTTTATGGGGTGGTTTCGTGTGTTTTGGGTCGGACTCCGTATTTGCCGTTCGTCGCCGATGCTGCCGGTAGGCAAGTTTAGGCCGGCGGTCGTACTTGTATACTCTATTTGGAAATAATTTTGTTTTCCCGAAATGTTGTTTTACTTCGGTTTTCAAGTAAAACTAATCAAATTGATAATTTTTAGGGTAAATTATACAAATGGTCACTGAACTTTTCAAATGATTGCATTTAGGTCTTTCAACTTTTAAAATTTGCAATATTGTCACCAAACATTTAGTTTGTTTGTAATATGGTCCCGATTAAACTTTTCAGGCGTTTGCATTTAGGTCCTCTAACATTTAAAACTTGCAACATAGTCATAAATTACATTCTAAACTCTAAATTTCAAAATACTTCAATTACATTCTAAACCTCAAATTCCAAAATACTTCAATTTAATACCCAACTCCAAATTCATAATTCATTCTCAAAATCTACCATAAAAAATTTCCTACCAATTAACCCAAATGCCCAACCCCAAATGCTTCAAACTAAAATTTAAAGTAACAACCCTAAATCCTCAAAACATAACCCTAAATGTTAAATTTCCCCATCAATTAACCCAACATAATCAACAACATTTAGTTCATTTTGGGTCCATAAAAATAAGTGATTACATTGGGTTTATGATTTAAAAATTAGATTTAACCAACTATAAGTGAACAATACTCAATTCGATTCGAAAAAGTTAATTTTCAACTTGAATTGATTCAAAAATTTTGATACAAATTGACTAATTTCATAAGCTCAACTTAAAAATTTTCAAGTTAAAATCGAGTTGTAAAATACAACTCGAATATCTCAAAAAATTTAGTAATTAGTAGATTAATTTTTAAGTTTGAGTCAAGTCCCTTGACTTTGTATGATATATATATACTACATATGGAAAAAATATGAAGAAATATATGTATTGTATATGGTTAAAAAACTATTTAAATTAGAATCAAATAATATTATAGTATTATAAATATTTATAATTAAATTTAAATAGAAACTCAAAAATTCAATTCAATTCGATTGATTTAAATTTTATAAACTCAAATCGAAAAAAATTCGAGTCAACTATTTTATAAACTAAACTGAATTAGAATCAAATAATATTATATATGATAAATATTTATAATTAAATTTAAACAGAAACTCGAAAATTCAATTCAATTCGACTTAATTTAAATTTTATAAACTCAAATAAAAAAAATTTTGAGTCAACTATTTTATAAACTGAATTGTGTATTTATGTCCAACATAACCCTAAACCCTAAAACCAACATAATCACTTATTGTTCACTTATAGTTGGTTAATTTTTTTTCGAAATAGTTATGTTTTGAGGGTTTAGGGTTGCTGCTTCAAGTTTAGTTTGTTATGACAGATTTTGAGAATGTATTATGAATTTGGGGTTGGACATGTAATTGAAGTATTTTGGAATTTGAGGTTTAGAATGTAATTGAAGCATTTTAGAATTTGGGGTTTAGAATGTAATTGATGATTATGTTGCAAGTTTTAAAAGTTGGGGGACCTAAATACAAGCGTATGAAAAGTTCAGTGACCATTTATATAATTTACCCTAACGGCAGTGAAACAACCGTTACGTTGGGGACCAAATTGCAAACGAACTAAATGTTTGGTGACTGTATTGCAAGTTTTAAAAGTTGGGGGACCTAAATGCAAGCATTTGAAAAGTTCAGTGACCATTTGTATACTTTACCCTAATTTTTAAATATAAAATTTGAAAGTTTAAGTATTAAAATGGATTAAAATTATAGTTTAAGTAATAAATGTGTGTTTTATCTTATGTATTTTTTTTATTAATATTAGATAAGTATAAGATACAATTGGTTAAAAGATAATTTTTAACTAATTTATATTCAAAACTTATATTTTTTACCTTCATATCATTCGAATTTAAGACCCCAAAGAATAGAAATAATTCTTTTATCCGGATTTAAGACCTCAAAGAATAGAAATAATTCTTTTATCCTTCATGTTAATTGATTCATACAATCATATTCTTTTAATTCTTATGTATAATTTATATATCTAACTATTCAAATTTAAAATTCATAAGAGGATAATTTTAAAAAAAACAATGATCCTAATTATTGAGTTTATTTTTAGGATAAATTATGTATTTAGTACTTAAATTATTAGTTTTAGTCCGTTTTAGTATTTAATTTTTAATTTTTTAAAATCAAAATTAATGTTTAGTTTTTATTTCATTTTTATACTCTCTGTTAAAATTTAACATGTTTAGTATTTAGATATCAATTTTGATCCGTCTTAGCATCTAATCTTTCAATTTTTTTCAAAACTTAATGTTAAATTTTGAACGGGTACTAAAATGAAACAAAAACTAAGCTTTAAGTATAATTTTAAATATTTTTTTAAAATTTAGATAATAAAATAAATCAAAACTGATAGTTTTTATACTAAATGCATAATTTACCCTAATTTTTATCTATTCATATGAAAATTTAAGAAATAACTAACCTAGAAGGAAGTGTCATCATATGGCTAAACTCACGTAAAAATGTTTTAAAAAAAATAATTCACGTGATAATGATCTCCAAGGATTAATTCTTCAAATGGTGCGAATGATACAGGAGTAAGATTGGTCGACATGCAGTCGGGGCGAAGCTTGAAGGTCGCCATGCACTCGGGCGAAGATTGTATGTCGCCATGCAGTCGAGGCGAACTTGAAGGTCGCCATGCAGTCCAGATTACTTGAAGGTCGCCATGCAGTCGGGGCGACCTTATAGGTCGATCGCCAACCTTCTGCAATAATTCAGCACTAATTACAAGAAATATAATGCGTGATACTGGCCCCCTTCTCTCAACGCACTATCTCCATATTACAAGAAATTCAGCACTAATTAAAGTAAAATTTTGGCATTATTTGCACCAATAATTAACTAAAATTTTGGCATTATTTACACCAATAATTAACTAAATTCCAGACGTGATATGAAGGGTGACAAAGGTGGCCCTGTGTTGGGACATGCATGTTGGCCGCGCGAGCTCGTCCTGCAGCATTAGTTTAACGTAAATTGCAAATTTGCAGCAATAATCAAATGCGTGATGCCGGGACAGTAGCATTATTCATTCGTGAAAAATGGATGAATTATTGCAGCAGTTAATTTATGGTTTATGGGGCCGATTTAACAATTATAGTCGCGTGATATGGAACATTATTTTGCTCCTCTCATGCATGCATGCCTACATGATTTGCACGTTTTAATAATAGCATTAAAAATATATGAATTATTGCAACATTAAATTAAGGGTTTATGGGGCCGGTTTAGGGTTATATATGGGTTAGTCATTAGGTCTTGGGTACGGTTATGAAGAAGGAAAGGGAGAAGAAGGAAAGGAAGAAGAAGAAAGGAGGGAGAAGAAGACCGGGTAAAAGTTTATTATTTTAAATCATTAGTTTGTTAATTTAAGTTATATTATATTAGTTTGTTTGTTAGTTTAAGTTATATATGATATCATATTTAATGGAGCAAATTAGTTAATTAGTTTGTTAGTTTAGAGTTTAGGGTTTATAAAAAATTATTTAATTAGTTTGTTAGTGTGTTTAATCTTATACTAATTTGTTTGTTGAAGTTGAAGTTATTTTTTAAAAAAAATAATAATTATTGCTTATTTAGTTTGTTAGTTTAACTAAGTTATATTATAATAAAAAAATAGTTTATTAGTTTAATTAATAATTTGATATTTTTTGTTGTTGTGTTAGTATTATATTAGAATAAATTAAATTAATTTGTTTAATTTTTATATTATAATAAAAAATATATTGTTTACACTTACAGAGCATTATTCCACAACTTATGCCAACCTACATATTGATTTGAAGAAAGAAAAAAGAAATGAAAGGAAGAAGGCATAAACGGGTAATTTGTTAGATTTTGTTGTTGTGTATGTATGCGTAAATGAGTTAGTCATATTAATTTAGATATTTTTCATTTTATCGTTAATATCTAATTTAAAAAATATAAGAAATTTATTTTATCATTAACATAGTATATTATATTATTTATTTAATGATTGATGAAATTATCTGATCAAATTTATTAACTAACAATTTATATATATTTTTATTTGTAGAGAAAATGAACAACAACTTTTTCACGGTTGTCTATTATAATGGACAAATTATGGAAAATGAGGTCGGAGTTGTTTTTCAGTCTGAAAAACCAATAAATATGATGTTCAAAAGAGACATCACATTTGTAGAAATGAAGCAGAAGATAGAAAGAAAAATTCGAGCTGCAGTTGATGGTTTGATGTACAGGTTTATGATATGTATCAACCCAGTCAGGTATGCTGCAGTACCACTTGAAGAAGATGATGATATTGGAATTATGATTGGACCACATGAGTCAAGCAATATAGCAGTTATTGAGTTATTTGTTGATGTACATAACATATTTGATGTTTCTGGGTCATCAAAAGATGTGGCTCGAAATCCATCTGAATTGGCTTTCGATAGTGAGTTTGAGGATCCGAAAAACAGGTTCCCAAATAGTTTTATATCACTATTAGAAAGTGGAAATGAAGTAGGAGGGACATCCGCAGCAGCAGAGTATGAGACGAGAAACATACAACATTCAGAATTGATTGTTGATATTGATGCTGAAAATCGATGGGGAGAAATTCATAATGATTCAAGCGAAGATGAAGAAATAGAAGAACCCGTTTTGGGTGACGATGATAATTTTGTTGGTGGATGTGCAATTGACTTGGCCATTGATGATGTTCCGACACCGTATGAAGCTACTCCTCACATGTATGAGATAGATTATGATGCGATGAGGGCACCTGAATTCCCAGACTTGCCACATTCACCTCCGTACCAAATGGCTGAATCATTCAAAATTTCTGGTGAATTTTCGGTCGGGGTGCAATTTAGAGGAAAAAATGAAGCTACGCTGGCGATTAAAGAGTATTGCATCAAATGCCATGTTGATGTCCATGTTGCATAGTCCAACCAGAAAACCCTATACGTGAAGTGTGTTAAATATGGCCCAGAGTGCAAGTGGAAAATTAGAGTGTCAAAATTTCAAAGGTACGATGCTTGGGTCATCACAAGGTACAATGGTCCT